CAGGGGTTGATCCAGGGATTCCTAGAAACTGTGTTGCCAGAGCTGACTCTGAGAGGACATAGCCAGACGACTAGCTGTGCAGGTAGGGCCTGATTTGGCTGAACACTGAGATCTCTCTTCTTCTTCACAGTTACCTAACAAGCCAGGGTTGGGTCAGATGCTCCATGTTACCTAAGTTCTCTTCCATTCTCTCCTCTCCCTGGAGCCAGATTTTGTCTTTTGCTTCTATTGGAGTGATAAGATCGCTGTAAGAACTGAGACTTAGACCTGGGGGCTTTCTTTTGGAGAAGTCAAACTCTGAACTTTTAGCTTCTTGGTCCATTTATATAGAATCTGGGTCTATTTGTGTTTTTGCCAATATGAATACATGACTTTCCAACAAAGATCATACAGTCGACAGTTTCCCAAGCCCCAATCTTGAGACGCCAAGCTCAACCCGCTGTTCTCAACAGCACAATGACTTTCTGAACTGTGTGCTTTAGATTGTTTCATCGATTAACAGAAAAGATGGCATACTTCAACAGACAAAATTTCTATCAATCTGGGAATAAATATTCTTTACAAAAGTCAGTAAAGTATTAACCGATTTTAGTATCATGTAACAGATTGGGAGACATGAATATGGTATTAACTATTCATACTATCTTAAAAGATAGTATGTATCTCTCTGCACCTCTATAAGGAGACTGAGCTATCCCTTTCTACAGTTGAGGGAGCAGTGGAAGATTAATCAATCTGTCAGAAATATGCAGTCAGGGAATGAAGTAGAAAGACTACCACATCTCGGGCACCTCAACATGTGCTTTTCCTCTGGCACCACACCAATTCCTTTCTTTCCTCCAGAAAAAGACATTGCACTTTATAATACAAACTCTAAGCATTGAATGATAGCTACTTAGCATTACTTTTGCAGCCCTTAACCAAAGGGAATCATTTATATCCATGTTGGCTATTTTAAGAGCAACAAAGTTAAGAGCTTCCAAAAAAATATCATCAAAAAATGTTCCCACCACAGTGATTCTGAGTCAGGTATTTACAGTCTATGATTAAAGGGATGGATGTATTCAATGTAAACAAAACAGGAAGCTAGCAGCCCCAAATTTATAAGGGTTGGCTCAGAAAGTGGTCAAATGCTCTGGCCTGTTTCATTCTTTAAAGTCCTCCCTTTGAAAAGAGAACGACAGAGCATCAGTAATAGCGTAACACATAGCATCTGTGAAGGTAGAGGATCTAAGAATATGTACTGAAAGCTGTTGAAAATGGGGAGGTAAGAGGTAAAGGGGTAAGAGAGTGTAATGGAAGGGGCTGAATGGAGCAAAGTAAAGTGGACTCCCATCGGGGACACATTGAGAAACCCCTTTGAACATTGACTTTAATATTGATAATGAAAGACAGAACTGTGAAATGGATACAGTGTGGGGGGGTACTTGTGGGAGGGGGAAGGGTGAAGGAAGGAGATTAAGGTGAGAGTGTGGTTGATGGACTTTACGTACCTGAATAAAATAGAAGGAAGAAGCCTCTTGCAATTGCTTTAAGTGGGGTGGGGAGGGGGCCAAAGGGGAGAGATGGTGGGAGCAATCTAACCAATGTGCAGTATAAGCCTATTTGGAATTGTCACAATGAATTTCCCCTGTACAACGAATACATCCTAAAAAAATTTTTTTAATGATCATAATAAAGTCCTCCCTTTGTGGGTGTAAAGTCCTACTGATTACATAAGCACAGGGTCAGGTGTGTCTGCAGCCTCTCCCGGCCCCACCTGGCGCCCACCTGGCCCCACCTGACCCCACCTGGCATGCCGGATGGAGGCGATGGCGTTGCTCAAGTCGCTGTCGATGCTGCGGCAGTTGTAGAACTCCTCGTAGGCGGGCCGCGCCGAGCCCTGGTACTCAATGCGGCTGATGCGACAGACGCCTACTATGAGGATGATAAGCATCAGCACGAAGGCCACGCAGAGGGCGCCGATGATGATGTAGAGCGAGTGCCGGGGCATGTTGGTGAGGCTCTCCGCCATGTGTCCTGACTTCCACTGCAGGTCTGAGGGAGGACAAGAGCCAACAGCCAGGGGTGAGTGTGGCTTTCACCATGCTTGGTCTTTCCCACCCTTGTCTCTTTTAAGGGCTGTTCAAACTGTGAAGAATCCACACCAAGGGCTAAATAAAATCTTCCATACGTAAAGGACCACTTACAAAGCATTAAGAAAAAGCAAGAATATGTCACAGAAAAATATGGACAGAGGATAAAGGGGAATTGATCAAAGAAATGCAAATAGAAAATTGTTTAACTTCATAATTATTTTTAAAATGCAATTCCTCAGCCAGCCATGGTGGCACACACCTGTTATCCCAGCTAGTGCAAGGCATAGGTAGGAGGATCTGGTCAAGCAAAAGTGCAAGGCTTTATCTAGAAAAAGAATACTATAAAAGGAAGGTATCTCAAGTGACAGAGTGATTGCTAGGGAGCCCTGTGTTCTAAATTCCAGTTCTGCCAAAAAAAAAAAAAAAGCAATTCCACTACCAACTCCAATATTATTTAAAAATTATGACCACAGTTCACAAGTGTACAGAAATGGAGACTGTAAATAAATCCACAACCCTTCTGTGGACTCAGTGCTATAACTTTAGCCCAGATATTCCCATTTTAGAATTCTTGCTGGGGACATAACCCCATAAATGCACAAGTCCTATGTATAAGAATATTCATCTTACTATCACAAGGTTTAAGTGTTAAATGATCAATGACCACACATTCAAAAAAGACTCCAAATATAAGCACAGATACTCGTGTCCTCACCCCTCAGTTAATAAACATTAGTATTTTATTGATTTTGCATTGAATTTTTTTCAGATATTTTTAAAGAAATAAAATGTTACAGACATCACTAAAGTTCCCCCACCCTTGTATTCTTTCCCCACCCAGCACCAAAACAATTTATAACAGTAAAAAAAACAAGGAAATAATCTAATTATCAACTCTCAGTGAGATGGAAAGGTAGTCATTAAATAGACAAAGGAGGAGGAAGAGGTGGCTATCAAACAGGACCTACCTGTACAGAACAATAATTTGGCAGTGTTAAGTTTAAAATGCCTACCTAAACATTGAAAGCTTGAGGTAGAATGAAAATAATGCCAGGCATACATAATTTCTTTACTACAGACTAAGCTCTTCAGAAATATCTGGTTTAATCATAACCACCAGAAGATATAAGATTCTCTCTGCCATCTTTGCAGAGAAGAGGCCTGGGATCTGACATCTTTGGGGCTGAGTGCATCCAAGGCAAGTGTGGAGCTCAAGTCTGGATCTCTGCACTGTGACATGCTAACAGTGGCCTCTGGAAAGTAGGATTACAAGTGATTTTAGTTTCTTCTTTATACTTCTCAATTGTCTCCAGCCTTTTTCAAAACAACAGTGTTATTTTTACAATAAAAAATGGGTAGTAAATTATTGGCAGAAACATTCCAGGTCATCTCAGAGCCTAACAGCGGGATCATACCAACCTTGCTTTCAAACCCAACTCTTAAACTTAATCAACCCCCCTGAGCCTCTTCCAAATGAAGATTTGTAAGATGAAAAGAACCATGTATGCCCCTTTGGTCTGCTGTGAGCTTAAGTTAGAAAACACATGTGGTGGGTGGTCCCCAAAGAGGAGCCACTGAGATGCTGCGGGAGAAAGGACAAAGAAGAATGTTCTGTCCCTTATGGGAAGTGCTCTGAGCTGAGGAGTGTCCATCTACATGTACTTCTAGCCTGTATTAGCTAGGACAGGCTGTAATCTCTGTGGTTGGCACTGGTCAACAGTCATCATGCCCTGTTTACAGATCAGCACACAAATGGAAGTGCCTGGCTAAGGGGAACAGGGCTTGAAAGGAAGTTGTGCAAATTAAAAAGAGCCAAGTAGGACCAAAGAGAAGTTTTGGTTTTCTTTGATTTATTCACACTATCACTATGGATGCCACCCTACCAGATGATCATTTTCATGGTGTCTGGATATGGAATTCAGAGAGGGCTGGAAACAGAAAACAACACCATCAGGACTCTTCTCACTTCTGTTTGAAGTGAGAGTATGTGTGGTGTCGGGATATCTCCACCTTTACCCTAGCTACATCTTCAGTAGTTACGGAACCTGAGAATCAGCAATGTGTGACCTTGAAAAGTTACAAACCAGGTAGTCGCTCTGACAAGAGACCAGGTCTGCAGACCCATTTCTTAGAAGCCCAACAGAGGAAGGACCCCTGCGCCTGTCCTGGATGCTTCCTGAGAGCCCAAGAAGAAAGGACAAATGAAGTGACTTCCAAATTTGCCCCCAGATTCTCTGATTCCTGAAAATTTTATGAAGCCTGGTTTTACCACTCAAGTCTGCCTGCCCTACCCCTTAAGGGAACTCTGGTTGCTTAGTAAGACTAACTGACCGTTTGTATGCTCACTGCTCCATCTGAGCCAACTCACCTGCAGGCAGACAAAGCAACATAAATCACTGCAAGTGAATAGTCTCCATGGAGGGCGGCTGTTTTGTGAAGCCAGAACCAAGGCTCAATCCCCAAATCAGCAGCCCTTTCATTTGGCAATATCTGCTGCATGCTGAGAGAAACAACTCATTTTTCTGGCTGAAAAAGTAAGCATGATTCACTTGATTTCCAAGCATTATAACATTCTCTGAAACATTCGGCTGTAGGCTGGAATCCGAAACTCAGCGGAGTATAACATCCAGTTAGTATCCACATGAGGGCAGCCAGCACTGTTTCTACTCCAACTCGGCAGAGTGCTCAGATCTGATCGCTAGGGAGGACCACACAAGTATCAATGGGTTCTTAGGTCGATGCATCACTTTATGTAAATAATGTACACGTCATATCCATGGTGTATGCGAACCACCACACACCACTGTGAAAAACCAACTGGACTGCTGCACTGTGTGCTTAGCACAGTGCGATGGCCCCTGTTTGGAGAGCAGCCTACATCGTTTGCGTTTCTCTCCATCTGCTCCCAAATATCTGTGCACAAAGCTGTCTGGACTTTAGAGAAACATTTATCAAAATGTCTTCTAAAATCTCTGCTTTCCTTCCCCCACCCCGACCCCCGCCCTCGTCTGTAAAGCTAAATTCTGCTTTACAGTCATCTAAAACTTTTCTGGTAGAAGTGAAGGTGACTGCTTGGCAAGCCAGTTGGTTTAGTAGCCAGGCTGCATCTGGATAAATCCAACAGTTGGTCTGAGAGGCAGCACATTCATCAGCACCAGATAGCTGAAAATGCCATCTTCCAGACCAGGTGCCATCCTCCTAAGTCATCACTTTGCTGAGTCCTGGGATTTCCATTGCATGAATCATTTACTGTGTTGGAGGCAACCCAACACTGGGAAGAATCTTGAACCAGAATGTGCTGGACGGGATGATCTCATGGGCCCCAGCAGATAAGTGACCAGGAACACATGCACATGAGTTGTTTGGGGAAAAAGTCACCAATGTCCCACTTGTGAGTCTCAGGGACTGTTTGCATTTTTGGTTAAATTTGTTTGAGGTTTTATATTTTCTGAAGTGCTTTGCACTTAGCATTTTAGTTGGCCCTCCATGATCACCTGGGGCTAGGGAGAGGGGCTTGACTTGCAGAAGCTGCTCAAGGTAATGCAGGCTGTCAGAGGCAAGCTAAGGATAAAAATAAGTCATCTAGGACCAGACGTCCATTGGCTTGCATAATTTATTCTAGAATACATTGCCCATATCTACTTTCAGTTTCCCTTGGTAACGTGGCAGGACTCAATCCTTTGCTCACCTATGTTACTTCCAAAGAGAATGAAAGTAAGAGGAGTACTGCTGGGAACAATTGCAAGGAGGACTTCAAATCACATTATGTTTTCCATGGCTAAATACTAGCTGTTCAGTCAGAACTGAAAATGAGACAGGAAAATCAACAACCTGTGTTAAGGTTCAGAAAAAGACTCACACCTGTCATCCTAGCTACTTAAGAGGCTGAGATCAGGAGGATCACATTTTGAGGTCAGCCCAGGCGAAAAGTTAGTGAGACCCCATACCAACCAATAGCCAGATGGTTCATGGTTCAGGCTGACCTGAGCAAAGAAGTGGGGTCCTGTCTCAAAATTAACCAGATCAGTGGGCTTGGCATGACCATGGAAGGAGAATCTGAGTGTTCAGACGCGCACTTTGAAAAGATCCTGGTTGCGTGTGAACAAAGAGTCATTTGGGGCTACTGTAGTATGGGCAGAATCTGTAGTGGCTTGGCCTGGGGGATGGGAAAGGGGTCAGAAAGAGGTAAAGGGTTATGAGCACAATGCTAAAGGTGAATTAACCAGACTAAAAGCAGCTTGTGTGGGCCAATGAGGGGGAGAGAAAGGCAGGGCCATGTTCTTGTTTTTCTATCTTGTGTGGATGCATGAGTGCTGTGGCAGAGCAGGGACCATGGCAGGGTGACCAGCCATGAGTGGGAGGTCCTTTGTAAGAGCTGAATTGGTGATGCATTTAAGACACCTAAGTGATAATGCCAGATAGCCATATTTGGATGTAATGTTTTTGGTGCTGACTCATTTATTCCTCTGAGAATGCTATAAGGTAGGCACTGTTCCATCTCCATTTTACATAGGAAGCAACTGAGACTCGAAGAGAGAAGTAGCTTTCCCAGGTTATAGTCAGTAGATGAACCTCGGTTTCAACCAGATGTTCTGGTTCCAAAGCTTCACACTTCAATCAAAAGCAATGTGTTCCAAACTGCATGTTGTGGGATTCAATTTCTGGATCAAATCTGCATTAAAAAATTTAGTGCCTTTGTCAAAATTCAGTAAACTGTATGAATTTGGTTAATTTCTGGGTTTTCTATTCGGTGCCAAGAAAGGAAGTGTCTTCAATAAATTGTAGACAACTGGGAAATCTTCCTCTTGCCATATGTAAAAAACTCAAAATGGATCAAAAATCTGAATTTTAAACCTAAAACTATGAAGTTCCTATAAGAAAGCATAGGGGAAACTCTTCAAGGAATGATGTTTCAAATAGGTCCCCAAAGGCACAGAGAGCAAAAGGAAAAATAAACAAAGGGAATGAAGTCAAACTAAGGAATGGCTACACAGCAAAGGAAATAAAAGAATTAATATATGACTGACAGAATGGGAGGGAGCATTGGCCAACTATTTCACCCAACAAGGAATTAATATTCAGAATATATAAGTATTCAAAAGCTGAGCACAAAACACACACCACACATATACTCACACACACCACACACATACCACACACCTACACACACATACACACATACGTACCACAGACACACACCACATATGCACCATACAAACACACACCACACACATACACACATACCCCAAATACACCACATACAACAAACACAAACCACATAGACACACACATACACACAAACACACACATAAATAATCCAGTACAAATGGGCTACAGAGCAAAATAGACACTTCTCAAAAGAAGACATGCAAATGGCCAACAAGTGTAAAAGTGTTCAGTCTCACCAACCATCAGAGAAATACAAATCAAAACCACAGTAAGAAACCATCTCATCCCAATTAGAGTGCTATCCTCAGAAAGAAAATCCACAAATTTTCTGTTATGGTTATGAAGAAATGAGAACTCTTATATGCTGTTGGTTGGAATGTAAGTTAGTACAACCATTAAGGAAATAGGTGAAGATTCCTCAAAAATAAACCCAACTACCATATGAGTCAGCAATTCCACTACTGGGTACATAGCCAAAGGAGATGAAATCAAGCCACCAAAGAGAGGTTTGTGTTCCCATGTTCACAGCAGCACTGTTCACATATGGACTGAGTCTAGATGCTAATACATGGATGAATGGATAAAGAAAATGTGGGATTGATGCCCTTCTAAAAGAGGTCCAGAGAGCTCCCTGGTTCTTCCACCACATGAAGATGCACAGAGACACCATCTGTAAGGAACAGACCTTCACTAGACACAAGATCTGCTGGCACCTTCCTCTTGGACTTCCTAGCCTCCATAGCTACGAACAATAAACTTCTGTTGTTAATATAAGTTACTCAATATATTCTCTGCACAGACTAAGATGGATACATTTATAAGAATGTTCACTCTGGTATTGGTAGAATGGAGAGAGGGGTCTGGTGAAATAAGTTATTTTCATTCTCTAAAGAATGAAATGTGGGAAATCTGAATAAGCCAACATGAATAAACCTCCAAGATATATTATTAAACATAATAGCAAGTTGCTGGGTAGTATGCATACAACAGTCCCATTCATATGGGAGAAAAAAGAGACTGCTGTATGATCTAACAGATCTGGAAGGATACATCACAAATGGCTAACAGTTCTTACCTTTGGGGAGCAAGGTAGGCAACTAGATGGAAAAGGAAGTTAATTAATTTTATTTTTTAATCCTAGTTTATATAAAAATTATAACCAGAATACCAAAGAACCCAGTCTATTTGCATAAGGACTGCCCATATCAACCACCTATGGCTTTCTTCAACTGCTATTAAATTCCATCTATTTGGGAGTAAGAGGCCAGGAGTTCCATCCATACTTCTCCTCTGGCTTAGGAAGAGCTGCATTTGTGTGTAGAAATGCCTGTGCAAAGCCTTACAGCTTTTCCCATACACATTCTGACTTGCCCTTAGATTACAAGCTCCCGAAGGCCAGGGATGCTTCATTAATCTTTATATCATAGGCACTAGTTTTAATGCCTGATAATAAAGAGGCTCTTGATTATTGACTGAATGTTCAAGTCCAAGATAGCCTACTCACCTATTTCTCAGCTGCTGAGTATAATTAATTCAATAGTGTAACCATATGCTCGATTGCTCAATGTACAGAACTGGCCAAGTGCCAATTGGTGAGGTTGACTATAACTATAAAAATAATACAGCTACAACACAGACAATATAAAAGAGATCACTGCATAAATGGAATAGGAATTTTGAGGCTTAGACTTTGATTCTAACAAGGCACGCTCTCCCTTTATTAAAATCCAAAGAAAATTGTGATCTGTTTCAAGCTATTGCAAACAACTGGCAGAGAATCAAAAGATCTCCACGATTCTCTGTTAATTTCCACAACATGTATAAGACACTGTAGCTATTTGAATTATCCTATTGGGATGGTCCAGGATCAATTTGCCTTGTGATTTTGATAAATCTGTGTAGTCTGTTAGGTTTCTGCTTCTGTGATAATTCGGCGCCAGATAAAAACTCCAAAGGAGCAAATTCCTAGGAAACACTCATTATGGGGGCAAACACTGGGCACAGGTACTGTGAAACAGCTAAAATGGTATCACTTTGCATGTAAACCGTACTGAGGTTTCAGGTTCCCTAGTGATGACTGATTAGAAAGTCACTTATTTCCACATGGGGAGCCCCTTGTGTGGGGACTCAGTGTACCCCAATATGTACAACAGTAAACATTCTGTGGTATTCTGTGAGAGAAACAGTAATAGGAAGTGTCTGCCTTATTATTTGTTCTTCCTGGCATATTATAGTATTAATTTAAAAGTGAATCCTATAATAGTAGAGGTGAAAACACAAACACTAATTTTTAATCCCTCATTTTATGGATAAAAAAGAAACTAAACTAATCCCCAGTCCATGAATATGTTACCTTATATGGCAAAAGGGAGTCTGCAAATTGGCTAAATTGAGGACCTTGATACGTGGGGAGTTATCCTGGATTATCTGGGTGGGCCCAAAGTCATCACAAGTGAGAAAGGTAAGGTTCTAAGAGGTCAGTTTGTCCACCCAGATCACCTAGCTAGAATATGAGGGAGCTGGGATTTGAAGCCAACCTTGTAAATTATTCCATCTTTGTACATATTTTGCCTATATTGTCACCACCAAAAGGAAGTAAAATTTATATTTTTTTCTATACTTGGAATTTTCTTCAAAAAACATTGAGGACATCCTGTGTGACTTTGAGTTTTCTTAGCTGTACTCTCCCATATATTACCTCCACAAATACTAGTCTTAAAGTTACAAATAGATAATACTCTGACCCAACGCACAAAATTTGTGAGAACTGCCAAAATTTAGAATGAAAGCTGGAAGGAGATTTATGGACCATTGTCCTGTAAAGAGAAGCATCCGGAATGGGGAGGAAGCACCTCCCCACTACCCCCGCCCAACTAGTAGAGTTGGATTTCTTCTGCTGTGAAAGATGAAACTGCCCTACTTTATTTAACTAATTTAAGTAAGAAGAAAATACCTTTCAACACTGAGTTTTTAGCAGTTTCCAACACAGTCAAAAACACAATTCCATGTCAGGTCTCATTTTGACCTCCATCCTGGGAGATGCATGATTTTAGTATAGCGAACCTTGATCCTGACATTTTAAAACTTCTGTTAGTGCACCTGAAGCCCAACACTTAGCTTGAAACAGCCCAAAGTATTTTCCAGCTTTTGTTTTAAACTCATCCTGGCTGGACTTCTCTCCAGACAATTAAGGACACTGAACATATTTGAAGATACTTGAAGACATAAATGCAAAGTGAATTTACATTCCTTGTTGCTTTTTTAAATTTTCAACACAGAGACTGCATTTTTAATATGATTCTAATGCTTCTCTGTTAAGCAAATTTTTGGCTAAGAAGCAGTGAACTCTGGACGACATTGGTTGAGTCTCATCCCTGTGCAAAGAGAGGATGCAAACCCAGGAAGGAGTGGAGGTGGCACAATGCAGCAGGAGACAGAAGTACTAAACTGGGACTGGAGACAGGGCTAACTCAGGTGGTCCCTTTGGCCTTCACTGCCTCATGGTCAATGACACAGAGGCTTCCTGATCACAGCTGGCACCCTCTTCTTGCTGGAAGAAAGTGAATACTAAATAATAAGAGTTGAAATACTTACGGATTTCACAGTTTGCTCCCACCCAACCATGAGGGCAGTGGCAGGTGTAGCCATTGGGCTGGTCCAAGCAGGTTCCAGCGTGATGGCAAGGGTTACTGTCACATTCATTGATGTCAATGTCACACTCTTCCCCTAGGGAAAGAAGGATGAGTAACAGTGAGTGAAATGGCTGTAGCCACAGATCCCAGCACTTCTCTGGCCAAAACAAAATCCAAGGCTGGTGGATCATGACCTCCAGCAATGGAACCCAGCCTATTATTTGTATAATAACAAATTTCAGAACTCTCAGACATCTCAGACAAGGCATCTTTCATCTAAGTAAAACTAGACTATGAAAAGCATTGGTAAGAAGAATTTCTCTTTTAATCCTTTAACTAGTTCACTGAAGCTGGTTCCCATGTCTGAAGAAACCTTCCGAGGTTGATCTGAAAAGTAAACTTAGGTTCCGGATTTTACTAAAGTCTATTTTTTATTTCAGCAGCTGAATCTTATTATTTATTTTTCTGAAACCCCAGAAAGCTGAAAACTCCTAATCTATGATTATTTTATAGTCAAGTATTTAAGTTTGGCAGAATGAACATTGACTTTGCTGGACATAGCTGTGCATCTAGCCTGAGTCTATTATGAACATTTGCTGCACTTTACAAATCCTTCGAGATGCCTGGGGTACAAAGAAAGGGGGTGGGGGGCTTGAGAAGCCCAGGTTGAGCATCAGGCCCACCTAAGGAGAGATATTTGTGAAGTATGGGGTCAGCCTAATCTGACTTCATCCACCCTGGGAAATAGTGACCAGTTTGTCCTTCCCTCATACTGAAAATGTGATCTTAAGCTTCTGATCCTTCTAACACCCAACACTCCAGTCATCCTTACCTGCCTGGTATGGATGACCTGGTGTAAAGTTACAAACCAGAACCCAGGACAATGTCACTGTGAGCCAAACAAACATGAAAATAGCTTGTTATCAAAAGTCACATGAACAAAGCCATCTTCAAGTGATTTCACAGCCATCACAGTGACTCAGTACAAAATGAATATGTTTCTTGATTCTAAGGGCATCTCATCAAAATTGAAGAGAATACTTCAAATTGAGGTATATCTCTTAAAATTTTGAAAATGAGAAAGAGAAATTTTCAAAATATGCCCTCATTTGCTTAGGATAAATGTAGAAAGGGATGAAAAATTAAAACTACTACCATTCTGATAGTCATGGATGAGGTGTAAAATCCAGTATTTTGTTCCCATTTTCAAAGACAATATTTCAGTACACTCGGAATTATTACCAGGCTTAGCATTAAATTACCTTTCTATCTGCTACTGATTTACCTCATGTTTATAAAACTACTGTAGGTCATTCACAGATCATTTTAGAGGCGGAATCTCACATTAAAATATTTCATATCTGTTCCATCCCACATTTGTTATGTACCTGGCATCTGACTATTTCATTTTAAAGCAAAATCTATCAAATGAAACATTTACTACCTCCGGGTCATATTTGGTTGATTATAATTCAGTTGCGTCTAAGTGAATTTGTTTCTTGCAATAAATATAGTCATTTGCATCAATAGAAAGAACATGAAATTGATTGCTTCTTACAAGCCTATGTCCAAGGCTGTCTTTGTATTAATGGGGTAATCGCTCTGAGTGGAAAAGAGCATAGCCGATGCTGTTACAAATGGCACTACACGGTAGGCCAGCTGAAGAGAAAAATGAGCAGAAATGTGCAAAGAAAAGTTGGAGAACAAAAATCAAAGACGGTCAGATACACATATCAGTACTGCTCCCTAACCACTTACGAAGACAACCTTTATTGAGGCATTTGCTAAACTAGTTTTCTTTATCTAGTGACCTGAACACTGCAAATTCTGAAGTGAGAAGCCCTGTGGCCTCCACAGCAACATTAACAGAAGAGACCAGACTCTGCATTACCTCTGCAGGCAACAAAATTCAAAAGCCCTACTCTAGTCCAGGAAGTTCAACGTCAAGGTCACGCTCTTCTAGTTTCCTGAACTCTGTGCAGTGCAGTCTCAGAGCTGTCTGTCCCATCCAGCCAGCCAGGTCACAGCTAGTCACAGCACCCATGAGGAGGTGAATGCAAAGTCAAGATTCAGAGTAGCCCAATGTGTATATTAGATCTTGGATCACCAAAGGGCTCTAGAAAAGTCAAGAGAAGTCTCGGATTCCCCAATCTGTCTGTACTTGGGATTGTTCATTGGACTGGAGGAACTTAGATTGGAATAACTTGGTTAGAATGAAGATGGTAGGGAAAAATAGAAGAAACTCTGTAGACATCTGTCAAATATCTAAGAACCATGATCCTAAGAATTGGGACCCAAAGAGAGTGTCACACTATGCCATTCTGGTTTTCACCATCTCAGTGTCCTTAGAGTTATACTGGAGATTAAATGACATCTCATGGCATGATCTCCTATGCCAGTGAGTGCTGGCAGGTCCCAGAGCGATGCACCATTCCAGACCACTCCACGTGGACTGGAGTGGCCTATTTTACAGACAGACACTCCTACATTTCTAGTTGAATCAGTCATCCCCCAACTGGCTCTCATTTTGAGGTCACCACTGTGTCCCATGTTATTGGTAGGAATACGGGAGAACTCTGATGATGGAGTCTTTCAAGGAAATTTACAACCAGAAGACTCCCAAGGATGAACCATGGTGATCATGGTTTTTGTCATCCATCTTCTGCAAAGTGTTTGGAGATTTATTGTGAATAACAGAAGACTAATTTGGCTTCATTTGTTTTCCTCATATTAAGAACATTATGACTTCATTTGCATGTCAACACTCTGACATTCAGTTCCAATCAAAATGCATTTTACATGGTTTTATTATTAATTATTTCATTTTAGAAGAGTTCTTAGTACTATATATTATGTCTCTTTATTAATAGTTAATTTAATAAACTTTTCGTCTTTTGTTGCTCTTAGCCAGTTGTCTTTTTAGTTGCCTTTCTTACTCTTTTTGCTTTTCATCTGAGTCAGAGAAAAATCAATTGGTCTTAAATCACTGTTATGCTTGAATACCATCTGTGAAGAGAATACAAAATGAATTTTTTTTTAACTTGAATAAGGCTGGCAGTGAGGGTATGAGCTTTAAATCTTTTACAATTTCTTTTCAATCTTCTGTTTTCTAAGAGCCAATATGCAAGTCTACCAGCATACTGAATAATTCTGTGTGCTTTCCTTGGATAAATTAGGAAATGCAAAATGACAGGAAAAAAATCACTACAGTTAGTAAATCCTTGGATTAATAGATTGTCCACACTGAAGAATGTGGTTGACAATGCTGATAATAATAATGTCTAGTGGTAAAAATATGCTTCCTACAGAGCTAAGCACTGTGCAGGTGCTTTAGCTAATATCTCCTCATACTTCTCAAGGATTTTATTCCAGACGAAGCAGGTCTAAAAAAGTATTTGGAACTTTTTCTATTGTGATGGGGCAATTGGAACCTGTCTCTTGTCTTCCCATTATAAACAACTAGACAACTGGATGAAATATTCTTAAGAAACACTTTTAAGAACCAAACCATAAGCAGTTCATGAGTATGAGTGCTCTAAAAAGGGAAACAAAGCAGCTGAACCCTACAAACAGCCTGGCTTTCTGCCTGTGACCAAGTTGGCACTGAATTGAGGAGACAGGACTGGAGTGTGTACAGGCCGAGGTAATTTGTAGGGAAGACCACTATAGAAGACAGAGCCACTGAGAAAAAAAGTATCAGAAACACATCTATCCCTGGAGTTTGTAGCTGAATACTGTGTTTAAGTTGAAACTCTAGGAACCTGGCAAGCAAAATAAAGGATGAACAGTTTCTAAACTCACAGAGGACTAGAAGTATTTTACCAGTCAGAGTAGAGAGATTTCATTGGCTATCCAGTGAATTCAGTAAAGCCACTAAAGGTCACATCTTAGTAAAACCATCCCCTAGAATAGAGGTTACTCTAGACTCAACCTTCCCAAAATATACAAACAAATCGAGAAAGAATAAATCAGGCTGACAAGTGACTTACCTGCCTCAGAAACAGATAGGTAAAAAGAGACAATGAAATCACTCAGCAACTTATCCTGCAATGACCAGCATCCAAACAATTTTGGAAAGAAAAAAAGAGAAATAAAGTGGCAGGAATCCTTCTGCCCAATTTCAATAGTTATGTGGCTACAATAGTTTGCATGTATCAAATCTGAGTTGTATTGGCAGAAGAATAGCCACACAAATCAATAAAAAAGAATAGAGGACTCAAAATAGACCCACACAAATATAACCAACTGATTTTTGACAAAGGTTCAAAAGTGATTCAATGAAGGAAAGATATGTAACCTTTTCAGCAAATGGTCCTTGAGAGATGATACTTGTCTAGGAAAATAAAAAAAAGAAATATATTGAAAGATTTAGTTGAAAGATTTCAGGAAAGAACGCAGTCTGTGGGGAAAAAAAATAGATAAGTGTATAACAATGCATGAAATAGCTTCATGAAGGTGCTTACCTAAGGAACTTTGGAAATGAGCAGCACTGGTTAGACTAAATGAAAATGAGCTGTACGTAAGTACTGATTCTGGTGGATAAGGTTATTTCCACGAGGACATAAGTTAACAATTTTGTCATTGCTGTGCATACACACTGGACGGGAACAACTAAGTAAATGGATGCTGGATTGTGATAACCAGATATGTTGTGATTAGTCTGGGAGTTTACAAATAAGCAAGGGAGAAGGCTAGAGTAATCCACTTGGCAATGGCTCAGAATTGGAGACAAAACTATGCATTCATATTTATCTTAAAATAGGTAGAGTTAGCTGCATAGTGCAATATATATATATATATATATATATATGTATATATGTGTATTTATATGTATGAGTTAGTATACACACACGTACTTCCTTGCTTTGTCAGTTAAGAGGACTTAGAAGCTATGACATCCCAACAACAAGAAGCATGGTTAGTGTCCAGATCTTTATTTCAATATCATTGTCCAATAAGGAACCAGGGATCCTTAGAGAAATGGATGATTCTAGAACTGGGGCAGGAAATGCACAAGACTAGAGCATCTTGCAGTGTTGGAAAGAATATTAGTGCTAAAAAATAAATGCCAGCATCATCCCTGTCCCCAGTAATGGGGTTACATCAAAAGGGCACAGGAGCCAACTGAAAGAACTCTCAATGACCAAAGCTGGAACATTCAGAGAAACAAAATAAGAACTGTGAGAGTGTGACCCAAAGTATAAAACAAATATCCATAAGTCTATATTAAAATGAATAAATGATCAATAAACTAAAAAATAGAGGATAATAAACAAATCTCAAACTACCCCACCCTCAAAGAGGGGGAGGTAGGTAAGCCACATAAAGTGATATCCTTCCACAAAACAAAGTGTGGAAAGGAGGTAAAAGAGTAACACTGTAGGGGGAAAAAAACATGACAAGCAAGACCTCGGCTAGGTGATCAAGGTCAACATAAATGATAATGAGTCACATTGATGGTATGTAGCCTGATATGATATGACAGGATTAGAAAATTGACAAAAGACATGAAGAGACCCTCCACCAAGAGGATACACAGATATCAAATAAGCACATGGAATGATGTTAAGCATCATTTATCATTAAAAAAATCAGATAACAAGCACAATGAGCAGTACACACATATCAGACTGCCAAAGCCGCGGAGACAAGGGTGGACACAAAGCCAGTAACTGAAGGATGACCAGGATCTGGTGCAGGTGAAGATCCTTATGAGAGAGCTGTGTAGAGGGTATGCCAGGCTCAGGAAGCACAGAGGCTCTCCCTGCATCTGGAGAAAAAACCAGTCCTCCATGTAGCACATCCTGGAGTTCACCTTCTAGCCTGTGAGTGAAGTCCCCCAACCCAAATGCAGAAGCCAGTATCATAAGGTAAATGTGACTTTGGATTGAGTGTCTACTTACATAAAAATGATTTGACTAATTCGCTCCACTCAGTCAATTAAAGAGCTCTCACACACTCAGTGGTTGTCCAAGTATAGGTTTTAATAAACCTCAAATATACGGAAAGACTATTTGGTTCCAAGGTAGCAACCTTAAAGTACAGCAGCATTATTCGGTCCATATAGAAGGAATTAACATTTTATCTACTTCTCCATGGAACACTAGTTCTCAGGATGCAAAGGAAAAGAAACGGTTCCATGATTAAATATATTTGGGAAATAAACAAAGGCAAGCATAAGATTCTTTCTGCTAAGACTCCTTGAAGCCTTCAGTTTGGAACATTCTTTATGAATGTCCATGTTCCATGTGTCAGTCACGTCCCACATGTATTTGGCCACAGAACTGTTTTTCCATGGGACCAGTATTCTGTAAAACACATTAGCAGCACAATTTCCCAAACAACTTAATCAGCTTTTCTGTGGCCCTCTGCCTATAAAACTATCAGGGCTAAACAGATAAAGACATTTGTTGTTTTCAAAGGTCAATTAGAGTGATAGTTGAACCTATGTCTGAGGTTCTACTGCTTCCTGTGATCCAGTTGGGCACAACAGAGATGCCCAGGTGTGGGCTTCTGGTTGAGTGTTTATGGGTACAGTGGGGGTTTGGATTCAAGGCAAGCAAACGGACCTGAGAAGCAGGAGACAGAGGCAAAGGACATGACTGAGAAGAGCCTAACATACGGTATTCTGGACTCCTGCAGGTAGAAGGACCAGGACAAGGCTATAAAGGCTGGATGGGACCAGACCGCTCAGGGTCTGATGATCAGAGTAAGGACTTGAAAGTTTTTCTTATGGGCAATGAAATATCAACAGGTGATTTTTTGGTAGGGATGACAAGATTAGTTCATCATTGCATCAGGGAAAGGGAATGAGGTGGGGAGATCTGCATAGAGGGGTTGCCCTGACCCAGGCAGGAAGTGAAGGTAGCCTCCTCCTTATAGTCGGAGGATCTAAGAGGGCTCTAGGAGGTGTACTAGTTAGATGCAGATAAATGCAAAGAAGAGGGTATCAAAATGATTCCTCAGCTTCTGGCCAGCACAGCTTGGGGAGAGTAATAATGACATTTGATGAGCTGGCATATATTTAAGGAAGGAAGGAGAAGAGAGTCTATGAGTTTGAGGTGTCATGGAGACATCCAAGACTGTATACCAAGAAGGCAGTTGGAGGCTTGCTAACTGTTCTGGAAAAAAGATTAAATTGTTCTCTCCAATCAGATAGCAAAGTAAAAATCAAATGGATTAGAGATTTAAATGCCAAAACTAAAGTCATACATGATTATAATGTAGGAGAATATTTATTAATAGACAGAACCTTTCATGAAAATAACAAGAAAGGAAACCAAAAGAAAATCAAGATTTAATCACAAACAAGCAAAAAGAGATTGAGTTATGCAAAATTAAAAATATTGTATAAGTAAAACTTTAATACACATTTGAAAGGCAAATGACAGAGGAAAAATATTGCATTTATCAGATAAAATCTGACATACTTAATATTAGTCCTGTTTCAAATCAAGAAGAATTAAGATTAGCATGAATTGGTCTGACAAAAAACCAGGCAAAAGGTACGAGTAAAGAGTTCACAAAAGAAGAAACATAAATGACACAAAATGCATTTTTAAAGTTTTCAACCTCTCTAGAAATCAGACCTACAAATTAAAACAACACCAAATGACTATGAGAATGACAATTCTGGAGTGTTTGTGTCAAAATCAGGAAATACATAGTCCTATCACTCTTAGTAGGAATGAAAGTTGGCAAAATATTTTTGGTTTTTTTCCCTGAAGAATAACATGGAAGTTGGTGTGTATTCTTCTGGACCCCGAGATTCTCTTCCTTGGAAATCATAAGTAAGTACACATGGATGTACATACAAAAACATTCCTTTCAATGTTGTTTATAATAGGGAAAAATTCTCAACTGCCCAAAAGTCAAATTGAAGGTGGACTTAAGAAAAATCTCATACAATGGATTACAAAGCAGTAATAAAACTGGTTTTAAAAAGAGGCATATATTTTGATGTACAAACACATTTACAATATACATATTTTTAAGTGAAAAATAGGCTATAATATACAATGGGTAATATGATTCCTTTTATGTTCAAATATTTATGCATATACACTACACACTCTATACCATACACAAGACCTTCAGAAAAATCCCTAGATACAAAATGTTATATTAGTTACTTCCCAGTAGTGTAATTTTAAGTGTTAAATTTTCTCAATTGCCCTACATTTTCTAATTTTTCTTCCATGATTTATATTACCAATAGGATAAAAAAAATACCCAAGATGCTTCCCTAATATTATTTTCTGTCTCCACTGATGGATATAAAAATGTCTGTGTATGTTTATAAAGCAACCAGCAAAACAAAACCATCTGGGAACAATTTTTAGGAACAAGCCCACTTCCTAGTCCCAGGAAAACCCAAAAGGAAAACACAGGAGAGACACAGATAAACAGAAGGATGAGATGTTGCTTCTCCCACATCCCAGGAGCCCTGAGATGGACTAGGGACCAGGGACCATGCTTTGCAGAATACTCCAGGGCTTGGAAGGGCACGGTGACTCCACAGGGTGAGGCACACACAGCTCCCCAAATGACAGCACATATCTTTCGGTTGTTCACCTCTCTCCTTTTTCTAGGGACACCTGATATGTCAGCCTCTCCCAGCCTCAGGCTAGAGTGATTATTATGCCTTCGCTGCTTGAGCAAAGCTCTGAAAACAGACTTTGTCCTAGTCTCTAGCTATCAGGACTTCTGGCCTCTTCAGGGAAAACCAAGGACGTAACATTTTGTACTCCAGTAGACCAGAGTTCCTTTAAGAATTGGATGAAAATTTGAGAACCTCCCTTTAGCACACACACATATCCATCCACACAAATTTCACATCTACTTTTGGAGATTTGCAAACCCCCTGAAGTTCACAGTGGCTCCAGGACTTAAAAGAAAGATTTCTCCACTCTAAAAATTACTCCCTGACAGTGTTCAGTGACCACCAAGGTTCTTGTGTCCCCAGCCCCTGTGCCCCCAGCCTCTCTCCCTTCCCATTCCTTCCTAGCCACCCCAGCAGTGCCGGTCCCTGCACTGGCAACAAGACCCAACGCTGGAGTATCTCCCCTTCCCACCACCATCAATTTTCTTCAGTTTGCAAAATTCTATTACTTTTATATCATTCAATGACAATAAACATGGTAGCTGAATGCAGTTTGTATACAAGGCACATTGCCTCCTGCCTGTCCCCTTCTGACTCGCATTAACACTCATGTTCTTCAGTGTTCACACAAAGGTTCATTTCTCATGTTACAAAGCCACGCCTCTGGAAATGTAGTCATGACAGCCTCAGCAAATGTCAGCACCAGAGGCTGACAGTTGTTTTAAAGTAGACGTCATCCAAGCAATCCTCTTTATATTTTGCAGTGGTATTCCCATTTTGCAATCATCTATGCCTGAAGGATTTGGAACTTTTTTGCCCCTGTAACTGAAGGAATTCTGTGGTGAGATTCAGAACCCTGCTTATGAATCACTCACCTGTAAACCCTGGTGCACAGATGCATGTGCCATTCAGGCCCTCGCTGTCACAGGTGCCTCCGTTCAGACAGCTGACATTAGCACAGGGGTCCTTAAACAGTTCACAGTGTGTTCCTGTAGAGAGGCAGATAGAAAAGGTGACTGATTCATCAAGGTATCTCCAGCTACCACGGCCTTGGCAAGCAAAGTATTTCAACAGCGTAGGACCCCGTGGAGGCAGATTCCTAGGGTGTGTGTGTGTGTGTGTGTGTGTGTGTGTGTACACCATGAGTGCACATGCATACACACAATCCTGACTTTAGATCATTGTAAAAACATGTCTTATGAGAAAATAACAAATCCAATCCCTGCCCATAGGCCCTACTATAAAATTTTTTATCTGCGTTCTCTCTGACTGCATGTCCTAAGGCACAGAAAGCTAAAAGCCTGAAAGATTAAAAAAAAAATGTTAATGGAAAATGCTTTCCAAGTCTCAAAAAAACCCAGAGAACAGCTAGACAGCCTGAACAAAATGTCAACATGGTTGATAACAGCATCCCGAAGGTGAAGTTTGGTGTCGGATATTTCAGCAAGTCCCAGATCAGCTTTGTAGACTGTGGGAGAAAGGAAGCCACTCTGTGCTTGGATGCCCATAATCCTAGCTACACAGGAGGCAACAATCAGGAGGATTGATCACAGGCCAAAGCCAGCCCAGGCAAATAGTTCAAGACCTTATTTTGATAATACCTAACACAAAACAGGGCTGGTGGAGTGGCTCAAGTGGTAGAGCAACTGCCTAGGAAGTATGAGGCCTTGTTCAAACCATAGCACTGCAAAAAAAAAAAAAGAAAAATTCTAAAATCACAAGGCCAGTGAAGGCAGGAGCTGGAATTCAAACCCACTGGGAATCCAAATCCAGTGTCTTAGCTTATAAAATAGTTTGCCTCAGACTGGCCAGGGAAAACACCTGAAATTCTGTACAGCACCCATTTAACAAAGAAGAGGCATTTAAAAAATCTGTAAAAACAGAAAACTTCCCATATGTGTGAAAAAAGAAAACTGTATGTGTGCATGCATGCATACAAATGCCTGAAGTGGGACAGGGTTACTTCCAGAATAGATTCACATCTATGCATACCCTATTTCATTGGCCATTTTTAAACAATGAATATATTTGGCCATATAAGCCTTCTTTTTTTTTTTTAACATCCAATACTATTTAAGAAGTGGGATATATGCTGGTTTTTCACTGGAGTTCAAGATGAATGGATTCGTGTCTCCCTCTCCCTCTCATCCCACAGCCTTTGAAGAGGGAGATAAATTACATTCTGATCTGGATAAGAATGTAAATAATGAATGCCCATCCTTCCCAAAAGCCTCAAGAAAAATAAGCACAAAACAAATAATAAATGATTGGTATTTACTTAATTTACTCTTCCCTTCATTACTGAGCTCATGATGTGCAAGTAACTGCCACACCCAATGACTCATCCTGTAAGCCCTGAAATTATCTTTCCTGGGCTTTGCTCTCATTTCTTTTCAATGCCTTAAAAAGGAGGACCCATGAAAAGAAAAAAGGGAAGAAAATGGACACAGTAACCACTTACTGGAGTCAAACATTTGAGAATGGGTGGCCTTTAATTTCTTTTTATCCTGCCTTATACTCCCACCACCACAACAACATCCTGCCAGTCTTTTTGCTTTGCCTTTCTTTGTAGGATAGCCAAACACATCCACTGATTCATGCCAGGTGGGATACAGCACCTCAGAGTCATGTCCTAGTCCCCACTCTGTCTCTGGGGGCTTCAAGGAAACTTTCCTGACTCGGTATACAAAGATGAAATTTAACGATCAGCACATTCTTCTTCCTTTGAGTGTGCATGCCCTCTTCTCCAAGAAGTCATTATTTGTATTTTCCTACTGGTTCCCAAGTAGCATGGGCTCAACCGAAATAAAAATACAGAGGCTGGGGG